TAATTTTAAACTATATTAAATCATACAATTTACTTGTAATAGAATAAGGTCCTGTTTTTCTATGAAACAAAATGGAGCGTTATCAAACAATTGAAATAATTTTATATCTTTTCCTAGTATATGTTTGGAAAATTTAACATACGCTTGAATTATCATAATACCTTTTATTTTTATTCTAGATCTTTGTCATAATGTTTGCTTTGTATAAATATTTGTTCATTGTATCAGATTACTGCACATTTTATTCGTGCTCTCAATTTGTACACGATCTCATCTATATTTTTCACAAATTGCACTTAATAATATTTTCAATTTATTAAGAAGGAGAGTGTTGGGTCCAAACAACAAACGAGACTTATACACGTCACGAGGACATTGACAACGTGGAACAACCTGATGTTGGAAAATTAGCTCTAGTTTATCGATCAATAATGGGTATATATATTTTCCTGACATACTAGCTTCGTATTTTCAAACAATGGACAAAGTCATGAAACGTTATTAAATGATTTAGGACTGTTTGGAAAGTAATGCAGATGAATTGTTAATAATAAAATATCGTGGAGTATTCAGTAAATAATACTTTAGTTGACAAACGCTGTCATTTACAACAATGTGCTTACGCTTGTGGTGCTGTAAAGGTGTAGCTTTTTATTCCATGTCATTAACACATCACATTACTGGTCAGGAAAAAAAAATATACAAAACGAACCCCGTAAATAGTTAACAACAACAAAAATAACAACAAGGAACACATTTAATATTTTCTTACAAATTTATGAAAACGTATCAAATATTCCTAAACAAATTCTTCGGTTATGACATTATGTATTTGTTTAATCTAAATATTCATCAATATTACTTGCAATTATAAAGAAAACAAAAAATGCCAAACTCAATCATGTGATCTGAGAACAACAAAAAGAACAAATAAAATAAATAGAATTGTTGTTTGAAAGAGCTCTTTAAATTAGATCTACCTCACAGATCCTAACCCTTTGTCTCACAATTATACATAGTTATATACGAATACATAAGCGTAAGGAAAGATTCATTGTCAAACCCTTTTTAATTTATAGATGGTTCCAATTATCTTGCTTAATTTACTTTTAAGTCGTTGTTGGGATATTTTACATCATAAAAAAATTTCATATCCAAAATTATGTAATTTGTAGATCAATTAAACGTAGTATTTTTTAAAGAATTTGAGACTAGATTGCAAGCTTTGAATACCATATCGGGTTTTGCATTTACAATTCCTCTTTACACAGAATATCAATTGATTTATATATTTTGCAATGCAACAAAACGAAAAATGAAAAGCATGAGATGAGATATCAAGACAAAGTGTTCAAGATTACAAAATCATTTCAGATTTTTTGACACGGTGCTCTTGAATAGACACAGTCAACTTAATTGGACTCCTATCTCTTGTGTTTGTACCGATGCCAGCCATTATCGCTCATGTAAGTTAAGTCGAGTGCTTTAAAATTGCATCATAATATTTTGACTCAGATGATTATGCTAATAATCCTCAGATGAGAAATATGCTTATGTCACTGGTTCATGCGTGTGTTCGTGCGTCCGTGCAACAATTTGACCGAATGTTTCCACTACTATTGTACGGAATGGTTTCAAACTCTCTTGGGGTAGCTACTATAACCGAAGCCTAGCCTCAGTCTGCAGGAGTATATATGAATTTGATCTATACATGAAAAAGTAATAACATTTTCTACAAATGACAAGGTCTAAGGATATGTCATTCGATTGCAACCCTTTTTGTTCTTTGTTTTGACTTACGATTTATATGCTCAAAGGGAATAATTTGAGGCTATTCATCTTCGTCTAATTTTGGGGGTATATATGAGTATCTTATTGGTCCCAAAATGTAAAGAAAGGGCATGATTGGTGACCTGTCCGTGATCCTCACTCTCAGTGCCTGAACTTTTTTCGTTTAATATGACTATTCTAGTGTTCTAAAAAGCCACATAAACCACCAAAAACCACACACAACTTAACGGAATGAAAAGGGCGAAAGAACATTTACTGTAACCTATTGTTTTCATAGCCATATAAACCCACACTATTTTCTCGGATAGATCCTTATTAAACTTCACACACACACGTACGCAATCATACACACACACCCGCGCAATGCACGCACACGCACACGCACACGTGCACGCACACGCACATACACATATATACACAAATATTAAGGATTTTTGACATCACTTCCATAACTTTCAACAAACAAGCCTCAATCGCCTTTTAACAATCCAGACAATGAAATATTTCACCGACAGTTGCATCTGTCTATTAAATGAGACCGTGAGCGATTTTCTTCTTACATTTCGTACCAGATCACTGTTTTCAGTTTCAGAATGGTTACTTCGGACTGCACAAATGGTATACATATAAAAGTAATATACCCTCTTAATGAGTCGGAAGGGAAATATCAACAACATCAACCGTAGTCGGTTAAGCTGCATTTTAAAGAAAAGTGTATTAGAGTATTTTGCTAGACCGATGTGATAATGATAAACAAATTAAAAAATATATTGCACTGCTAGTTAGTATTCATAAACGGGAACAGCTTTCCTTCATTTTGTTCGGCTCAGATATAAGTACTCAAAATGAAGTGGTAAAGAACTAATTTAATCTCTTAGCCAAAACACCTTATTACCTATAAAACGATAATGGCCTATATAGCTGAATTATATAAATGAAGGAGAAAAAAAAAAAGATTGCCTCACACCTCTTTTTACAGTAAATGAACGCACTTTCAGATAGGAGGATTTGCATTTACCCTTTACCTCATATAAACGCAAAACAAGGCACTTTCTACCTTCCTTTTGAGGTCTCAAATAGTGAAAAATGTCAAGTTTAATGAATATCTAAACATCTTTTATTGTTTCATAGGAAATTAAGATTAATAACCCTTCAAGAAATTACTACGTCATTGTTATGTAATATATGCAAACATTTTATTTTGTATGGAAAACTAAGATCAAACATACTCAAATTAACAAGTTTTACGCCAGCTTAGTACTTTTTCAAAGATAATTCTTGTTTGATTATGTTACAAATGTTTCCGAGGGTTTTGACACTTGCAATAAGGATAACAGGACCTATTTTTTTCTTTTTTGTTCGCTTGATAGTATCGTTCTATTTCTTTGTCTGTGAAGTATTATTTCAAAATGACAACAAATTGAATATAATATGAAACTACCTATACATCATTTTAAGTTGTCCAAAGAACTCGTTAATTGTCGTAGAAATAATAATGATATTGAAAAGTCGGATAAGGTTTACATAAGCATACTTGTTGGATAGTTAATCTTCTGTATAACCGGCACGTGACGTTTGTAGCAATCAGACACGTTCAATTTGCGCCAAATCATCGTTTATAACAGTATTATTATATTGGGTAGCACTGAATGTCTTTACAATTTTGATTGCAAAATAAGTAATACAAAATTATATATATTTTAGAATTTTGAGTAAACATATGAAAGAACGACGGATATCTAATATTATTTTCTGATAAATGGATTCGTTCTAAAACGGTAAAGTTCTTCAAAACGGTAGTCAGACCAGAATAGAACAGTACTTTAAAATCTCAAATAAATAGACATAAGAAATAACAAGGTAAAATACGTGACATGTGGTGTGTGCAAACAGCGAAATGTCACTAAAAGAAAACATTCATTACTCATTTGATATTCAGGTTATGTTTTGATAATAAAAAAACTGTTTGCCTATTTATACAGGTTGATTTGCTTCCATTCACAATAAACAAATGCACTCATTATATTCCTTTTATGGTCTTCACGACCATATGTCTGATTTGTTTTACCCTCTTGAATTACGCTAAGACCTTACACACCAAATAATTGAATCAACCATCAAGTTATGTGTTTATGCGTTTGTTGCTTATGCCCCTGGCTTTAATGTTAATGGATACGAAACAAGAAACAAGACTGAGAGATGTTTTATCCAACTTTACTGTGGCGACCTTCATATGATAAACTTTTACTTTGGTATCGTATAAGTCGCAACACTGTTTTGGGTTTAAACAATATTAAGTTAAAGGGATACAAATAGGAAAAGCCTTTGTTTACATTTTTAAAATGTAAAAATATTTATTGAACAGTTAGAACAAATATATAAAAACAATAATACCTTTAACATATATTAATATTCATTTATAAACTATAAATCTAATTTTCACAATTTCTTTTATTCTCAACAGATATCTCTGTTAAATTACCTTATTCTATTTATGCTCTAATATTCTTTAATCAATGTTCTAAACTTGCATTATCTTATTCTGATTTTCCACCCCAAAAATCAACTAATTCATCTCTGAAATCTCAGAACCAACTTACATTCTCATTCAAAAACATCTCTATTTATACAACAAGAATTCTGCCAGCATTTGGCAGAAAGTGTGATTTCATAAATAATTATAGTGGCAGAATTCAGCAGAATTTTGCAGAATTACATACAAACATATTCAAATTTTAATCATGCAAAGTTCAATTTAACTGGATATACACAATATTATATAAGACTAAAATCAATTACTTAAGATATGACATACTCTGAAAACATCATCTGTTAGCTGTCAAAACCCAATGTTTATAAACAAGAGAAACGCCCACGAGAAATCGATGACGTAGAACGCAAAATTCAAAAACATAATACACATAAACGTAATAAATACACAGAAATGTTGTTAACATGCCGGTAACTCACAATCAGACAAATTATCCAATATCTTTAGAAATTGAAGTTAACAGTAGATAACAATTATAAACAGACATACAAAAATGTGGATAAAGTCTACCACTAGAAGGTAATTCAACCTTGAACGTTAAATGGAACGGTAAAAGCTTTATCACTGATATTAAAAAAATGTAAACAATACCCCCCCCCCCACTTTCAAATCATTTAGTAGTAATAAGAAGTTTACACAGGCAAATACTCAATTAAAGAATAAAGTAAGCAGAAGAATTATTAGACCACCTGATCCTTGCAATACTACGGAATACAATCTACTTAATATTAATTATGGTATAATTACAAGTCTTCCATTATTGACCAATTCACTTTAAAACATAAAGTTTTTAACTAAAATATAATATACACAATTCATAAATATGTTGCGTTCAGGGATACGTCTTTTCTTGTTGATCTTTATTCTTAAATACTCATACAACATACATTTGTCCTTGAATGCGTAACATTTAGACATATTGGTCAAAGTTATTGAATTATAAAAACTATTAGTAGTCCGTTGATACATAAAATAAGAACGATCAAAGGTGCAGACTTGATTATTGAATGTGTTATATGGTTGTTGTTACGCAAACTATTTTGTCATATTTTAGTGGACAGTAATCTTTACGTTTACTCCCTTATCAACCGAATACTTATGTCACATGTTTTATTGAATGCAGGAAACAAAACTGTGTAATAGCAGGTATGATTTTAAAATATTGTTTCATAAATAGTAAAAGGCAGTCCTAGAAAATATGTACAGACTTGCTTATTGGATACAGAAACACATTCCAAAAGTTTTCAGAACAATTAAATAAATTTCTGTTATAAATTGAAATTATTTACTTTATTTGAAACTATTAAAAAATAATTGTGTTTTAAAAATATGTTTTATGTTTAGTTGCTTATCATAATATACAAAAATGGATATAATGTGTAGCGCAGCAAAATACCATTCAGCTTTAAAATGATAACATTCAATCAAAACCTGATTTAAAGAATACAAATTTAAATATGAAAAAGCAAAGTTTACTCGAAACTCTTCATCTGCAAAAATTCTGCTTTTCGATCCTTATTGACCTTGTTGTCAGCATATAATTCGCCACTTCAATCATGAACAGTTAAATAAACTGTGATACTACCGTTTTACTTTTGAGGCGATTTCGAAGTATTATTTTATAGTTTGCAACATTTATACAAACATTTGATATGTACATGATTATTATATACATCTTCATACTCTTTCTTATATGGTAAATTTGTCATAATCAAAACACTCAGCAGCCAAACTAGCATATATAATCATCAGTTCACTGCTCTTTCTAGGTTAAGCAAATCCACTAAAGTCATCTATTTTAATATGTTTGGATATATCTATCTAACTGCTATTTCTCGGAGACGCTCGTGTTCTTCTTTCATCAGTCGCATGAGATTACACATATCTTCTTTCAATGATATCAATTCATCCAGCTTCTGTCCTAAATTTTCACTCTGGTCTTTATCACGAATCTAGCGTATATGAAACAAAATTATGACAGATTAAAGAAACAGTATGCATCAGAATCAATAAATCTTTAATTGTTGAAAAAGGTCTTACATTTGTAATAAAACTTTAAAGTAATGGATTCAGAGCATGTAAGATATTAAACAATTGCAGAAGATAGCTCTGATCATGGCTATGAACCGTAAAGGTGGCACAATGTAAATAACTATAATTATACCAATTGCCAAAGGACAAGAGAAGCAAAAAGTAGTTAATTTACATGTCCAAATGTTAATTTTGGGAAACGGTAATTAACAAGATACCGTTTTTATTTTTATTAGAAATGAAAATGATAGTTAGTCAGTAGCCTAATGGGCCTTTCAAAAGTTCTCTTTAATTGATTACGTTGTTTTACTATTTAAATTATGATTCTGCATGTATTGTGAAATGTGTACATGTTTTGGTATTTCTTCGGATTTTAATCGGCCAGTTAATACTTCTCTGTTAGGCTGCTGGATGAATTTGACCTTCAGCCATATACCAATCTTCTTTGTACATCTAAATCTTATCAAAATGGTAAGAATAGTCTGGCAGATACGTTCCAATTCTAAAATGTCTTCAATCTGTAAATAGTTGATATCAACAGCAAATTTTAAACTGATAGGTTTTTGTGAATGTTTTGAGTTTTAGCTAGGAAGTTAACGTCTATACTTCAATACGTCTGATATAAAAAGACAATTCATTATACAGTATGTTGAATTGCAATGGTGTGATTTTCTAAAATAAGCTGATAGTTTACCTAAGTAATTTTCAAATATATGAAAAAATATTGAGTTTGTACGAACTTGGTTTTGAACGTGTACTAAGTATTTATTTTCTAATATGAGCAATCATTACTTATCTGATGAACACAAACCTGCAATGTGAATTGTGATTCGATCGCCCGCATGTAAACTTCTTTGACATCACTTACAGCTACGCCAACCTATCATTTAGAGTCATTGATGGTCAAGTACTTTTTAATTTCAGAAACATAGCTCTTATCATATGATAAACGTTTGTTGAAGTATTTGGACATATCTGATTGTATATGCTTAACAAAATAAATAAGACTTTAAAAACAGGTACAATATAATTTACATGTTATGATTCACATGTCTAGCATACTGTTAATTATAAAAAAACGACTTGCTTATATTCAACAAGAAAATATCAAATGAAAATTCTATGCATGGTTTTACATCCATAACACGAATCTTACATATTTATACGGTACGCAAATGAATGCCTATTATAAGTATAATGAAGAGTATGTTTATGAATATAAAGAAGAATATTTTGGCTCGATATTGATCTCGTTTACATTTGCATGATCGATTCAACAAAATCATTGTTGAGAATAAGGCATTGTTTGGAATTAAATCGTAAGAAGACTTCTATGGATTTTCGCAGTTCGCAGTTTCGCTGTCCAACTCCATACTGAATCATTGAGTCAACTGTCTACATGTACATATTCTGAACAAGACATATTTAACCAAACAAATCCAATAATTACCATTAAATTCATTGTTATAATAGTCATAATAATCAAAAAGATGCTGGAAACCAAATGACTGATAAAAGCTAAATAAACAATGTGCTCTTCACTGAGATCCTCATATCCGAAACCTTCAGCCATCATTGCCGATGTTGACAGCAATGACACTAGGATATTTTTAAATTCATCCTGTAACAATAGAAAACACTACAAAAACATTTGTTGAGTCCCGGAATATCTCTGTTTAAAACATGTGTAAAGGTAAACTTTAAAGAGGCAGATTCACCAATAGAGAAATACATCAAAACAAAAAGTTTCATCTTCCGTTTAAGAAAAGTATATAAAAAATAAAGACTCGATTCAAGTCTATTTAAGAGGGAAAAAATGTAGAACATCTCTCACGCTTAAACTCTTCCATCCTTAACATTGTTATCAATAATCTGACGGACAAGAAGGATATCGAAATCAGGTGAATGTGTAAATAAATATTATAAAGATGTTACTTTCCTTTCTTTTTGTTATATATATCAAGTAAGCTTACGAATCACAACGATAAGTTATTCGTAACTTCTTTACTAGAAAATTAGAAATTCATATCATTATAATAACGAAATAAACAAACAAACAAACAAAAACAAACATACCTGCTTTTTGCGCGCACACAGGAACGCTAAAGCGAAAGCTACTAGTAAAATAGCAACGATTGGGAAAATGTTACGTAAAAACGTTATTGTGATTCTTTTAAGCATAGACACATAAATCCCAAGCCAGTCAAATTTCTCTAAATAAGCTAACAGATCGACCCATGACAGGAAAATAGCCACTGTGCCTAGAGTCCATTGCCATGTCTAAAAAATAGATACATTATTATGCATAAGAAAAAAAAGACGAGACATGATAAAAGTGCCGATCGTGATATAATACGAATACACGCGGGCACATATGCACACACGCACTCAAACATATGCGCAAACTTTTTTTGAATGATGAAAAAATAAAACCGATGATAATATAACGGTTAGAAGGTTGGATTAATTTCGGATCTCAATTTTTAAATTGAAATTCCTCACAGTATGATTGATATTATCCAAATTTAAAGCAGGGAAAGTCCACTTGACGAATTTAGTAAAGTTTAAATAATATGTAGTTTGCTCACCTCTCTATAGCCTGTATTAGGACACTCCGATAAGTCGATCAGGAAAAATAATGCTGTTGTATAAGCTGTCCACTTAATATAGTTTTTGAAATGTTTAAAATACTCCAACCCGAAGGTCATCACAATATGATGAATCTGTGGAATAAAAATAGGGAAAAGTCAATTATTAAGGCTCTTTTTCAGTTTTAGATCAGTAATTTTAAAAGGGGTAAAGTGTTTCTTATGGGTCGCTAAACAAATTCGTTGTTCTTCAAAAGTTAAAAAAAATTAAATGACTTTTACATAGTGATACACAACTTACCTGTATTTTATGGACGTTTTACATTAGCTTTTAAACATCACTCTAGTATCGGTGATCAGCATGTTTCATGATTAATAACACATGCGTATTAAAGATTAAAATGATTTGAAAATGATGAAAAAATAGAGAATTGCTCAATGTTTTATCGAGCAATCACGGTCTATCATTCTGTACCTCTCATCTCAAAGTCGTGAAATAAAGAAAAACAAAAGACAGGAAACTTTGATTTCGCATGTACTGGTCCAATTGTTTAAAACCTATTTTTACTGACCACTTTTAAGGAAGAAAGATAACAAATTTGTCAATAAAACTTATTTGCATATTATACTGCTTGAAAATGTGGTAACATTAACTGACAAGCGGTAAGCTTATGATTTATTTATAAACTTCAATACCTCTTTTAATAACAAGATTATTGCCTGGAATATGACCACTATTTGCAAGACAGTAATCATTGGATAATTGCCATACGTTTCACATGTGACACGATCATTAGCGGTTGGTGTTGTTGTCACATTATATGACTCACTCTTATTGTTACAAAGGGTCGTGCTGTTGCAATCCTTTGAGTAATTGCCTGTTTTGTTTGAAGCTGTGGATTTAGTTCCCGAATCCCTGAAAAAATAAGATAAGCTTTAGATTTAGGGAATACCAATTGTTATGATAAATCACATTTGAAGTATATCTTACATGGAAAAAGGAAAAAAAGCAACAACAACATCAAAAACAGAACAAATAATTATAATAATAACAACAACAACAACAAAATAAATAAATAAAAAACTATGATTCCCATGAGTAAACTAAGAGCAAAACAGCCGAAATGGACTTCATTTTACATGTTTCATTAAACACTTAAGGTGATAACAGTACTTGAATCAATAATACCCTTAAAGGTCTTAAATCGCCTAGTAATAATTTGATATTTATTTCTCAATTCTCTTTAAAATAATAAGCATATTCCATAGAAATAAAGACAATAATGTTTTTCTGTGAACTTACTGAAATCGCTCGTATAGCGTGTCGATAGCAATTACGAACGTTGTCAGAGTACATAGAAATACCAGGTATAGACTCAAGCTCATGACGTGAAGCTTTTTGCCTATATGATGCCATTTATGTCTAATCAGAGCTTTAACAAGTGGGTGATCGACAAGTTGTCTGTAAACTTCCTTTTTACCGGGATCTTTAGAGGTATCTCTTTTATATTTCAGCTGAAATCAAGATATGTGATTCTCTGAAACATTGTTAATCATGAGCGTTATACCTGGAACTTCATGTAACATTTAATAAAAAGAAATTTACTGTGGTCATCGATAAAGATAAAAACGTGAAACAAATATTTTGAAATACTCATTTTCTTAACATGACTTATGTACTGCTGGCACTGAAGTAGAAGAAATTGGATATCTTAAAGAACATTAAAACAGCAAAATTAAAAATCTTGCTAATATGGTTTAATTTGCTCTGTTCATGGAGACAAGTGGTAAGTGGTAACTACCATCCACTCTTCTGTACACCGGTAAAGGAAGCATTCACCAGTAAAATATATCATTGATGAAACTTTGAATTGTAAACATCCGCAGATGTGATTAATCGCCGGGGATCATCGAAACTTTGAAAGTGGTTCGTTCGTGCCAACGACAAGCGGCATATGACTTAAGTAAAATATGCGTATGCCCTAAGCAAGCGACCTATATTAAAAGGAATTTCGAAATTACACCCGAGGTGATTAAGACTACAAAATACAGAAAATGTGAAAGTTAAGAAACAAATTAAAGAAGTTAAAAACAATATTTTTTTTGCATACATCATGCTTCTCAGTTTTTTTGATTCTTCCAAGTGTTCAACTAATAAAGAATTAAGTACTAAATTAAGACGATCTTTACGAAAGGTGTAAGTCAGTGTAATATTTAAGCCAATGGAAATAAACAACATTTAAATGTTCTTATTCCATTAGTTATAGATGTGAAGAACACCTCAGGCAATTTCATTTCTTATACATAGAAGAAGGTTTACAATATTGCTAACAGTTGTTTGGCAGTCACTTATGCTTCACATCCATCATTCCAGGAACAAATATGACTTTTTGATTTTTCTTATCGTTTTCTTTGACTGCCATTATATTTGAAATATACATATTGGTACTTTGTTTAAGCAAAATTATTAAACTTTAAGTTAAATGTTTAAATATTTTTGGAATATAGTTTTTAACATAACTGTAATAGAGAGTATTGTTCTTACCATTAACATAACAGGGTGGTTATTTCTTATTTGCGACAAATGTTTTGTGTAAGCCTCACGGCTCTCAATTTCTGTAATTATGTAAATTATAGTACTATAACACTATTTCACGTTTACTTTAAATGTATAAGATAAATATCCGGAAAACACCCATGACAAGATAAAATGTGAATAATGTTTAATTTAATCATTAAAGCCACTGACCTACAGTGTTAAATCATAAAATCATCATGACATAAAATTTCAAGTGACCGGTAAATACTTAAATAGAAAAGGTTTAATGTGTAAGTCCATCTTTATTAAAATATTATTGACAAAAACGTTAATATATCTTGTTTTTAATTCGCATAATCTACTACGTTACTAACGCAGTGACCAATATAGATAGGAGAAGATAATTCATTTAACACGGTCACGTGTCACAACAGTGGTCCGGAAAAATCTCGGTATCCGGTATGCCCGGGGGCATATATCATTTTCGTCATTTTAATTTTTGTAAATGCAACTACTGTCAGTTTTCTAAAATTGATGTTTTCATACCTGAACATCTTCAGAAGCTAATATGATGTCAATAACAAGCTGTTATTAAGTGCGTACCTTCAGCATCAATATGTTCCCATTTGGATTGATATAACCATTTGCAGTAGTACTCCTGTTGAGGTGGCCATGTATGTAGAAGGTAAGTGTCATCCAGGAGCTCAAAGTGGTAATTAACTTTTCCTGTACATTTTACTATGCATCTATCCAATAATTCAGAGATAACTTCTGAAAGCACATGTTTTGATTATATATTATCATAATGATTGTTGAAGCTTGGATCTTTATAGAAATCAAACATCCAGACCCGTTTAAAGTAAAACAAATTATTTTCAATCACTTTGAAATGTGTTATAATAAGTTATTACTTGTCTTTTACTTTCTTAATATGTAAGAGTTGTCCTTATTTTGTTAGGGTTATAACATGCACTTTCCTTCTTTAGAAATTCTCGAAGAATTCAAATACCCATTTACATTAAGATACTTTATAATTGACTTTAGTAACGACAATGTTAATTTCTGTCAAGATTTTTATTGAGTTGTTTTGTCTGATTTTAGCTATCATGTTGACTGTACAGATTCACTGTGAATTATCATAATGTAAGTGATTTTTTTTGTACGCTAAAGAAAAGCATTTGAATAAAAAAAAATGCGATTCGACTCTCATATGACGAGCAACAAGGAGGAGAAACAAAGACCCTTGCAAAACACGTACCTGGATAAAGCTGTAAAAGCCGTCTTAAAGGTGTATTAATTGAATTGTTGTCATTGCTTTCAAAGGGTCTTCCAACTTCAGATGTTGAGTTCTGTATACGTGGTGTGTTTCTAAGAAGTTTTAAGAGGTAAAACATCTCTGTTTCTTTGACCAGGTACTGAACAATTTCCCTGAAAATTTTGAAATTTAAGGTCTTTGTTATAAGCTTGGTGCATCAACTAACCTGGTTGATTTGAAAATATTCTGCAAAGGGATCTTAATTCTTTATAAATGTTAACTTAATGCAAAGGTCACTATTGCTTTTACTTAAATCTAGCATAGAAGGCTGATTTGATGCCTTTAGTCCAGACGTTTGTGGAATCCAAAGATTAGATACTGGACATTTTGTACGGAATCTTTCGTGTTAATTGAATCACTTATATTTTCCTGAGCAATATGATTGTACAAAGAGAGATGACTCTGGGTGGAACAAAAACAAAATTTGAATGAAAATATTAAACTTGGTTTGAAAGTAATGAGCTAAAACTATGTGATAAATCATTTCATCTCAATGCAAAATAAAAATTAACATTCGAAATCACACAAACAGACAAGACATATTTTAAGATACTTTTTTAAAGTATTGTTTCCACTGGAGAGCAATATTTATAAAGAGATTAATACTTTGTTTCTTAGAGGTGTTACTAGAAGCGTCTAATGTGAAGACTAACTTTGACTTTAGATAAAAAAATAATACGGTCCTCGTTTTAGCCTTACAGAGGGTCGGACAACATTGGATGTACTGTTTGAAATACAGACGTACCAATAAAAATGGAACACGTGTATGGCAGTTGTTTTAAACTAATTACTAAGAAAGAAAGTTTTCTAAAATAAGAGAAACTAGAGAATTTTCAAATGCTACAAGTATTATGCTGTGTATAACAACGTTTTAGAAAATCAGTATTCAAATACCTTTTACTTTCGATGAGACGGTCCTCTTTTAATAAAAGGTCAAGTATGTTATCCCCATTTTCATTTGTAGATGTTGCTGCGTCAAACCATGTTTGTTCAAATGTTCTTGTATGATAGCGGCACTTTTGAATTTTGGACCTCTCTCTGGTTTGACTTATTCTAATGCTCTCAATGTTCTAAAAGAAGACAGTGTCAAAGTAATGATTTGCATTTTGTCAAAACTATTGTTAAAAAGTACATGATATGCAATTAACCACAATATACTTTTGATATTTAAAAGGTAACAATTATCTTTTATATCATGTATCCAGTGTCAGTATGCAAGAAGTAATATATCGTACCTTTTTTGGGGGAAATAAAATTTTGAAAATGTCTTTATAATTATGCCATGTTGTTTGCAAACAAGCATAATGTAAAGCAGTATTCCCATCTACATCTCTGAAAGTACATTGATTTTAGAATTAGAATTATATAAGGTTTTATGTATACATTTTGACAGTCATGGTATTGAAAATATAATTTTTCCAAATTTAAATATATAGTCTAAGAGTAAAATTCATCTTACAAAATATATATAAACGAGTTCTTGTTTGGCTTATCTCAAAAAGCATATCTCGATCTAATTATTATAGTCATTTTAAATTATTGTTTCCATCCTGTAAATATCACGTCTTGCCCATGAAAACATACTACCTGAAATATTTTTAAACATTCATCATTTGTAAAGAAATTATAACCATGAATAAAGAAGTTATTCTTGTATTCTTGTGTAATGTTATAAGCTTAATTAATTAAGACTCCTGTAAGCTAAACAAATAAAAAATCAACTTATCTGAAGTGAATCACATTGAGAAACAGTAGGATACTTGAGAAAAACGAAATCCCTAAAGAACGCAAAAAGGACCCTTAATCATCTCATAAGGCGGTTAATATTATTAAACCTTCAATGTTTCACGATAGTGCCATTCTATGAAATGCGGCGTATGTTCCCCCCCCCCCCCCCATAAAAGAATGCATGTGCACTAAAATGTTCATGGCAAGAATAAAACTTACTTGAATTCCAAACTCGCACCAGCTGACATTAGAAGGTTGACAGTTTCAACCTCACCTTTCCTTACTGCTTCATGCAAAGCCGTTCTTCCATGTTCAGCTCTTTAAAATATAACAATTTATATTACATCAGTAATTTACGATTTTGATCAGTCCTCGTCAACAATGGCACAGTCAAGACAGTAATAAGGTTTCTTCTTTACTAAGTTCATTTATGAAATGAGCAAAAGAAATAAATGTTGCTTTAGTTTTAAATGTTGTGTTTTGGAGAAAGTTAAATAACAAAAATTAATGTTAATACTAATGTCAACGCATACAAATGTATCTACAGACTATATTAAGTTATCCCTTATGTCTTAAATTTCCGTTTACTTGTTGGCATGTACTCACATATAGTTTACATCTGAATTTCCAATGTTAATAACGTTTGTCAAATAATCAATGTTTGTTGCACCATTTTCAAAGACACACTCGTATATTTTCCTGTCATCATCTTGCCTATTAAATCAAATCATGGAATAATATTCAATACATTGTAATATTGAAACATATGCAATACAAGTTTTGTCTGACCTGTTTTTATGTGAAACTTGATGGGTGACTATACTTTAGTATACTATCATAATATGAATTTTGTTCGTAGTATTAAACTTTAACAGTGTCCATACACATCTACTATGATATATAAGAATCTTGTTAGTAATGTTTATACAAATGTACTAAGTTTTTAATCTTTTGCATATTAGAATTTCGCTTGCATTAATCAAAACAGCTGCAGATGTGATGAGTATGTAAACATATGAAAAAAAGGTTTGAACAACATAAATACCTTTCTGCATTAGGAAGTGCAAGTCTGACACTTTGGTTCATTTCCTGAAATATTTATTATTACTTTTTCTTAATTATTTTCAAAATAAAGACACTGATAATGGTGGATTGAGCTTAAAAAAAAGTTTTACCTAATTTACAGAGACCTAACAGGTAGACAATATCAGGTGAATAAATATATTGAAAATTTCATTAAATCTAAGATCATTTTTTTTGTAGGAATTCAACAGTGCAAGTCACAGGTAATTAACAACAATAACAACAACAACAACAACAACAACAACAAACACCGTGTTCTCTGATATTCAATTTGCAAAAGAAAACTTTTTAAAATTTTAACTAGAAATGTGTCCAGAGGACACGAGTGCCCCCACAGTGCACAGTTTTGCAAATCTACACACTCTAGGTTAAATATTTTTAGCTACACGCGACAGTTGAAAAAAATTCTTTTACTAAGTCAAAAGAAAAATCTCTACAAATACTGAATATATCAACAAACAAAACCCAGGTGTATAGCTGCACATGCTGACCAACATTTTTGTTACATTTCACGACTACAGGTCAAATACTTTTGGAGCTATGTACGAATAAGTTGAAAAGTGCAAATTTATACAAAGTCAAGAGCAATAACTCTGTACCAACTGAATCAGGAAGTATCTTTAAAAAGATACTCGGCCGAAGTCAAACTTATTAAGTTGCATAGGAGAAGTTACTACTTACCATCCTAACCGCAAACAGAACGTTTTATTTGCCTCTATAGTTTTATTTCAGTTCATTTTTACCTGCAATGTTTACCCCCTTGATTGTCATCTTAGATTTAAACAATATTACTTACATTATTTGATTTTAATCATGGAGCTAAATATTGTTTAAATATCTGTGATTTTAATCAAACAGAATTTGATTTGAATAAGAATTTATAATAAAACAAATATTTAGTAATTACTGTACACTAATTCCACGGAGAATTTTGCAACTGTTAATTAGTCGAAAGTTCGTTTCAATCGTCTTATGCCTGGTTTGAGAAGAGAATATAATGACTAGAACATCTTATAAGAGAAACCCAATCGAACGTAAAAGTATCAAAAAGGCGATGTGTCATATTTTATTTCATATATTTATAGAAAAGCTGTTAGAACCATCTAGAAAATATCATTATTGTCCTTTTATATTTATTCTGACCTAAATCTTTTTCCAACACTTCTTGCCATCACGCAATCGAACAGACCTCTTTCTATAACGAAAGTTCTTCTAAAGTATCAAACGCACAGGCTGTTAGTGTTGAAATGACCAATGGAAATTATGCCTACAATCATTTCTTTACTTTATTTTTTAGCGGAAGTCAATGTGAAATTAGCCGGCCTTCGGCCTTCGGCCGAAAAATCGCCTAAAAATCCCCAGGTGCACAGCTTGACATGTTGATCAACACAATGATCAACATTTCTGTAAAATTGATTGATTCCAGCTCAAGAACTCGTCAGGGTACACACAACGCAACATTTTGGAACGGGTTTTACGGTCAAAGTCTAAAAATATTAAATAAATCCTAGAGAAGCAACACGAAAGTGCACAACTGCATATGCGGATCAACATTCCTATAAAGTTCCATGACTCTAAGTCAAATTCGTTTGAACTACGCACGACACGAATTGAAAATTGGGACTATTAAAAAAGTTAATGGTAATTAATCTACAAATACTGAATTAATCCATAGCCGAAACCCCAGGTGCACACCTTTAATGCCTATCAACATTCCTGTAAAATGACGGACAAGGGTAAATCTAAATGCAGTCTCCTAAATTCGGGAAACAAAAAGTGTATATATAGGTCATAAATTTATATTCGATTTGAAAACTGTGAACATATACCTTACCTTTAATTCTATTCTTTCATTTTCAGATAGTAGTTTTGCTGTAGCCATCTGGAATATTATTTCCAAATATAAAAATACGTCTGCCACGAAACCGATTATTTTCTTTTAAATCTGACATTAAATGTATTACTGTATATCTAATATGTTACTTTCGCTTAATTATTATGTTGAATTTACAAAAAAATATATATACATAAAAAGATAAAGGAATGTTTAAAAAATAACAAACCGTTAAAATAGGCCGATATATTATTGTCATCGTCACGTGAGTTATTGTGATAACAGTGGCTAAGCAAATCTTGATATAGCAATTGTACTTTATAGAAAAAGCAAGTCCCCCAAAAATTACTGCATGTTTGATAACAGGAGGCAATCAATACTTGCTGTTTTAGATGATGATTAACTAAAAGTGATCAACAACTGCTATTTCTTTTTGAAATTCCCAGATTAACTCAAAGTGAACTACAACTGATATTTCTTTTGAAATTCCCAGAATCATATACAATGCGCGCGTTTGACATACGAAACAACTTATATAACAATTATCCATGGACCGACATCAACACAGAACAAAGTATGTATACCATATTTTATGGCATGGTTCCCCTCACATATTTATTGAAGAGGACGTAATCTTATAACATAGCATTTAACTACTATTTGCCAAATTCCCAATTTTCACCTTTAAGATGTTATTATCTCACTGAATAAGATAATTGGTAGATGCCTAAATGTGCAGATTTCTTTCAAAATGGAATTATGAATAACTTTAAGAACACCTTTGCAAATGAGGATTGAAAAAACGAAACAACTGAAATGCATGCAGAGGAAATCGACTGCACCACACATTGATTGGTTTAACATGAAGGCTTTTAAGTAGCAGTTAGAAACTTACACTGTTATTAAAGTTTATTGACAAACAATTATATAATATTATTTAAATGATTTTCGTAAGTAATAAAATTCGTAACTGACTAAGATTTACTCCCTCAAACTGATAAACAGTAGACACGTAAAAATGTCGTTTGACAAATAAGAAACAGACTGTTTAGATATAACTCTATTTATTGATGCTAAATATATTACACTGGTTATCATATCAATACAAACAAAAAAACAGCAGTATTACGTTAACTAGACACAATTAGACATGTTTAAACTAAAATAGTGAAGATTCAAAGACAAACATTAAATCATTTTTATCAAAAGATGAATGATCAAGATAATTATAGTAAATGACGAGAATAAGAATCACACAAAAAAGGATTACTCCCATCCGCAAAAGATACAACAACAACAAAAAGAGAAACAGACAAAAGCAAAAACAACAAAGGTTACACAACAAAAATACAATTTTATGAAAGTATGCAAATGGTACGAATTTTGAGATGATAAAGGTTTTCCAAAAATAGATTATGCTTATGAAACTTGACAATACAATATTTGTTTTCATTATATTTACATTTATTGATATTATTACTATCATATTTATAAATTACCATAATACATAAAGAAGGCTGATACATACCGTAATAAGTAGTACCTGTTCACGGGTAGTACATACCGGAATAACTAGTAAATGATCAAGGCAATTACATGAATGTTCAAGGCTAGTACAGACCAAAATTACTAGTAAATGTTCAAGGCTAGTATAGGCCAAAATATCTAGTAAATGTTCAAGGCTAGTACATGAATGTTCAAGGCTAGTACAGACCAAAATTACTAGTAAATGTTCAAGGCTAGTAAAGACCAAAATAACTAGTGACAAAGGGTGAGAAAATGTGCAGCCTGACCGGGACTCGAAGCCGGGACCCTCGGAATACCGTTCCGCGGCTCTACCGAATCGGCTATCCGGCCGCTTACACATTTTGCCCCGTAATTAGTGAAAGGTTCTGAACCGTGACATACTCCCCTGCTTTATTGAAATTCGTCCTCGAAATTCCGCAAAGTTACAGAGCAATGTAAATTAAACTCTGAGCTATATCAGTCACGGCCCCCTCCGTTGGGTGCCAAATGTCTCAGGGTGAGAAAATGTGCAGTCTGACCGGGACTCGAACCCGGGACCCTCGGAATACCGTTCCGCGGCTCTACCGACTGAACTATCCCGCCGCTTTTCTCCCGCAATTAGTGAATAGTTCTGAACCGTGACACTAGTAAATGTACAAGGCTAGGACAGAGCAAAATAACTAGCAAATGTTCAAGATTAGTTCATACCATATAAACTAGTTAATGTTCAATGCTAGTACAGACCAAAACAACTAGTTATTGTTCAAGGCTAGGACAGACCAAAATAACTAGTAAATGTTCAAGGCTATTACATACCAAAATAACTAGTAAAAATATCAAGGCTAGTACAGAACGAAATCACTAGTAAATGTTCTAGGCTTATACAGATCGGAATAACTAGTTAATGTTCAAAGCAAGAAATACCAAAATAACTAGTAAATTTTAAAGGCTAGAACAGACAGAAATAAATAGTAAATGTTCAAGGCTAGTACAGACCAAACTTACTAATACATGTTCAAGGCTAGTACATACCAAAATAACTAGTTAATGTTCAAGGCTAGTACAGACCATATATATAGTTTATGTTCAAAGCTAGTACAGACCAAAATAACTAGTAAATCCTAAGGCTAGTACAGACCAAAATAACTAGTTAATGTTCAAGGCTAGTACAGACCATATATATAGTTAATGTTCAAAGCTAGTACAGACCAAAATAACTAGTTAATGTTCAAGGCTATGACAGACCAAAATAACTTGTAAATGTTCAAGGCTATTACAGACTAAATAACTAGTTAATGTTAAAGTCTAGTACAGACCAAAATAACTAGTAAATATGCAAGGCTAGTACAGACCGAAATAAATAATAAATGTTCAAAGTAAGTACAGATAAAAAAAAAATTAAATGTTCAAGGCTAGTAGAGACCGAAATTACTTGTAAATGTTCAAGGCTAGTACAGACCTAAAAAACTAGTAAAAGTTCAAGGCTAGTGTACAGACTGAAATTACTAGTAAATGTTCAAGGCTAGTACATACCAAAATGACTAGTAAATGTTCAAGGCTAGTACAGACCAAAATAACTAGAAAAGGTTAAAGGCTGGTACAGACCAAAATAACTAGTAAATGATAAAGGCCAGAACAAACCAAAATATCTAGTCAATATTAAAGGCTAGAACATACCAAAATAACAAGTAAATGTTCAAAGTAAGTACAGATCAAAAAAAAAAAAATAAATGTTCAAGGCTAGTAGAGACCGAAATTACTTGTAAATGTTCAAGGCTAGTACAGTCCTAAAAAACTAGTAAAAGTTCAAGGCTAGTACAGACTGAAATTACTAGTAAATGTTCAAGGCTAGTACATACCAAAATAACTAGTAAATGTTCAAGGCTAGTACAGACCAAAATAACTAGAAAAGGTTAAAGGCTAGTACAGACCAAAATAACTAGTAAATGATAAAGGCCAGAACAAACCGAAATATCTAGTCTATATTAAAGGCTAGAACTTACCAAAATAACAAGTAAATGTTCAAAGGAAGTACAGACCGAAATATGTAGTAAATATTCAAGGTTAGTACATACCGAAATAACTAGAAAATGGTCAAGGCTAGAACATTCTAAAATAACTAGTAAATGTTCAAGGCTAGTACATACCGAACTTAGTAGTAAATGTCCAAGGCTAGAACATACTAAAATAACTAGTAAATGTTCAAGGTTAGTACATACCGATATATCTAGTAAATGTTCAAGGCTAGAACATACTAAAATATCAAGAAAATGTCCAAGGCTTGTACACAACGAAATACCTAGTTAATGTTAAAGGCTAGAACATACTAAAATAACTAGTAAATATTAAAGGCTAGTACAAACCGGATTAACTAGTAAATGTTCAAGGCTAGTACAGACTGAAATAACTAGTAAATGTTCAAGGCTAGAACATACTTAAATAACTAGTAAATGTTCAAGGCTTGAAGAAACCGAAATAACTAGTAAATGTTCAAGACAAGTTTAGACCGAAATAACTAGTAAATGTTAAAGGTTAGTACATTTCGAAATATCCAGTAAATGTTCAAGGTGGTAACAAAGCTCGGCCGACAGTTTGTGTCGTCTCGTTTTCTTGAATCTAACATAATACATGTAAATATAAAAAAAACATAATTGGAAAAATATTTAAAATTTTTTTATCAAGCACCCAGTTAAATGTAACATCCCATACAGTAGTCCGTCTATATGATATTTGAGAAGACAGAACATAAAACCGGATTATATTGGAAACATTTCTGCCTACCAAAAACGTAAAATATGTACATATACTTTAATAAAGCAGATATTTTTAAGTTATAAAGCAGTTTTAATTAATTATGCAGTGAAAAGAAGTTAAAAAAGTGTTTTAGTGTTTTCATATAGGCACATTAAAACGGTGCACTAGAGTTTTAGCAAATTTGGCGGCATGCTGTTCCAATATTGTAGTTTTCTTCGGTTTGAGTCATTTACACAAAAATGGCCTATTTTTTCACGTCCATTTATGCATTTATCTGCCCTTGAAATGACCCATGTTATAGGTAAATTTTTCTGTTCAAGGGCATATAACTCAAAAATGTGATCAGTGACTCCCCATTTTTGTTTCGTTTAAAATATTTCTGTTATAATTATATTGTATCAACATGCCAAGTTTAAGGAAATTGTATTGTACAATTTAAATTCTGCCTAAATGTCTGTTTGAAGCTTCCCTAAAAGTCCATCTGTTTCCCTAACAGTCAAAACAACTAAATTTTGTATGTACATTTCTTGTAGTTCGGTTTGCAGTGTACAAAGTAATTTGTCTTTTGACATTACGTTTTGTTGAGCCAGACGTATAATAATTTAAACGTAGATGTCACGTTAATTAAATAGATTTAACTTTACTTCATAAATGTATTTTTAAGCTCAGCGTGGCTTCTGCCTAGTCATTATATTGAGATACACATTTTTGAGTGCGTACTTAATTTCGAAATAGATTCCTACGAACATTTTCTATTTTACTCGTCGTTAAGTCAAATTTCTGAGGTGGCGAATTCTTGTATGAGCACTGCAGCTTTTTTGTTGAAACCAACAATGTTAAGAATGAAAGGATTGCCCTTATCTGCAATAATGTTGTCAGAGGCTAACATCGCAACTACGATCAATTTTGCATCAGGCACTTCTTTTTGATATTCCGCTAGAGCCTCAATCGCCTGATTCCCCTCTGTTTTTATGTTGTCTGAATATACTATAAAAACATCAAATTTCTTTTTCTTTTCCAGAGCCCAGCGTAGTGGAATAGATACATCAGTCTCACTGCCCTTTAACGTACTTATTTTCTCGGTGACGTCCTCGAGTAAGTCGTTCTTATCAATAATTATTTTTGTCAGGCCATCAGAGAATCCAACAACTTTGCAGTGTTTTTCAGTGCGAGTAGTGAGCATCATCATCGCCGCTGCGGCCTGTTTACAGTTAATGACAGGGCAACCATTGCATGGCTTATCCATATCTTCGCTACAGGAAATCGCTATCAAGAAACGTTTTTCGCTCGACTGAACGGTGATGAATGATTGATAAAAGGCTGCATTGAGCGCCTGGCAGATGTTTTGGTTAACATTCCATTTTAGAGTATTGACCTTACCCTTTTTCCATCTAGTTTTCTTGTTTTCGCCTTTTTTGTACGACAATAGAGCAATCAGAATTCTAATTGGATGAACTCTTTCATCGTGTAAAGCTTTCTCGTTACTAAGTATCGCTATGATTTCTTTTTCACATTCCGATCCCTCGTTACAAAGGCCTTTAGAAGACATCAAACTGATATTGCGTACCTTCGCTTCCGCTTTCATGTTTGACATTATCGCTTTACTAACCATGGGACATTTCACCATCTGTGTTGGAATATGTTCTCGCTCAAGGTCATATTCCTTTATAAGTGCCACGAGCGCTTCCTTATCAGTGCATCCTTTGGCTTTCTCTGTACCTTCTATGTAAGTCAGGAATTTTGAAATACTTTCAGTAGTCATTTTTCTACTTGATGCAAGGCGTTGTGCCCCTTTAAAGCCATATAGAAGGTATTGTTGAACTACTTTCATGAAATCATCTTCGAACTTTGGATGTGCTTTCTGCATAATTTTAGAATGCGACCAGGTCTCTCCTATCTTATTAGTTGTTTGCATTCTACGGGACTTGTATTTAGTCAAAAGTCGAGCCAAGCCGACTGGATGTTTTGCTTTTTCTTCGTACCACTTGATCATAGCTCTACGATGTGCCCTTCCCCAGCCTGTTGATCCTGACTGCAAACTCTCCTGTTTGCAATAATTAACAAACAAAAAGAAATGTGTTGGGATTCGGCATATCGCGCTTAGTTCTTTATATGCTTCATTCTTTGTTTCTTCATTGTTGGATCTTGCACATATGGCAAGCGCAAATATCAAATTATTTTGTCGCAATGTTCCGCCATATCGACTAATATCCGATAAATGTTGCACCACCTCTACCCCTTTTCCATCACTAATAAGTCTGAAATTATAAGCGTTTGAATTAAAAGTAAACGCATTTTCAACAGATTAAAATGTTTTGAAACAATAATTTGTAATTTTGTTAACAACTAATGGTGGAAAAAGGTACATTATCTGAACTTTTTCCCCGTTTGTTTACATTCCTTATTTTAAAGAAACACAATTATGTCAGTCTTCGTTTGCATATAAAATAATCGTAAACTGATATATTGAATTTAGTGTATCAATATCCGCGTATTTGACAGCAAAGTTTTACTTAAAGAATGATATACTTTGTATTAGGGCTACAGGTGTTCATATATTTCGTATATAATATATATTATGTGTTTTTATTTAACAATTGAATGATAGAGAACTCCAATATATCATTATTCCTTTCTATCACAAATATTATAGTTTGCAAGCTATAAAACGGTATTGGCTGACTGCATAAGAGCAATGAATGGTACAGCAATTGCAGACCCAAAAACAGTACAAGATACTGCAGGACGACCTATAGGAGGTAAGGTTATACAACAAATGGGGGCTGAGGATTTTAACAGACAATAGGTCACACCATTTTGTGCTTTTAAAGTGTTCCGTTAGTGGTATTCAGTACGTTGATAGATAAACTTATAAAATATAGCTCAAATTGCGACTCGGAGTTGAAGTATCAGTACTTAATAAACAATATCAAAGAAAAATCGGCTAGTCTGCATTTGTGTGGAATCAATTTTTCGCGACATTAATTTTTTGTTTACTTAGTGAAATGATGGGAATCACTGTACTTTATAATGTTATGTCTATATGGTATTTTGTGCCCGTTTATTGTGAATTGGTTATTGGTATTCACATAACATCTTTGAAAGATTCAGTGATTGTGTTTATATTTGGCAAGTAAGTACGTTATATCAAAACACAGGTTATGCTTACTGTGATTAGCTTATTATTAATAATAATTTCCCTTTGAAAGCATTTTAGGTGAAACTATTGGCATGTTAATACGTTGTATCAAAACACATGTCATATTCTTTGCAATTAGCTCATTAATATTTGCATCATTCTTTTAAAGCAATTTTTAGGTGATAATCATTTTTGAAGGAAGTCCATGATTCTTTATAATTTACATGCAGATTTCTTGTTATCATAATGCAATAAAAATCATTATTTAGAAAGTTACGATCCATTTTCAGCATATTTTCTGCGAAATAATTAATTTCCAGAGAAAAAAACTTTAAAAGAATTTCACTGTGTTTATGTTTGGCGAGCAAGTTTGATTTTCTCTACAATCAGCGATTTGCAACTTTATTTACTTTATTTCGTCTTTAAAAATCAAATTATGAAATTAAGTCAAAATATTGAACAATTATCTTTAATATCTAGGCCATGTATGTTAACTTGTTACCGAGAAAAAAGGGTGTGTTTTTCTTCATACATTTAATCAATGCCATTTACAGAAACACTGCTGTCTTTCTAACCGACACAATTTTGGTCATAACTTTGTCTCATATCTTATTTTGCCCCGTCTCAGCGGAGTTCTTGGTGAAATATTTGATTTAAACAATATAAATCAGAAATATGTAGCATACAACAGTAACACCTGAAATCGCACACCTGATTTAAAGCGAATCATCGATTGTGCAAAAGTTGTGTGTTGAGTAGGCTAAATAAAGCATAGGTCAATTTGCAAGTTCTTCTTCATCCGAGACTGATCTTTTAAATTTTGAAACAATTTTCAATTCGCTATATTCACCCGTTCTCGACCAAACGGAAACAAGATCTTATTCAGACCTGAAGTGTTGCTTACAGGTAGCAAAATTCAGATTTGGTTAAAGAAAGTAATGTTTTTGGGAAAGGTTGTTATTTATATTCTCGACCAGTCTTTCATAGATTTTGCCATGATTATGTATACTTTTTCACATATCTTACTTGATATATCTATGTTCCATACGATTTTGTATTTATACTCGTAATTCCTGTTGCATCCATTAATGTTCTAATGAATTTCATTTGTTTTGCATATCATTAAAAAATAAGATATATTAAGTACTGTGTCATAGCCTCTATTTTACCAGTACAATATAAACTATACACATTCAGTCCAACAAGTCGGTGTAGTACTGTTGACCACAGGCACGTGTATCGGACCTGTGACCAGATTGATAATAAAACCTGTGTTTATCTTAAAAGTGTCAAAAACCAAAAATAAAATGTAAATAATGACCCCCTTTAAAAATATACTATAAGTTAAGAGAAGGCCGGAAACTCCAGATTCGAGCCTACGAGCAAGCGATTCATTTCCCGGGCCGTTGTGAAAACAATTGGTCAGACAATTAAAAAAAACTTCTATCACTAATTCACGTTTGTTTTAAGCTTCCAAATGAGACCGACCCTAAGTCAAGATGAGCACAGGTTTTATTATCAATCTGGTCACATTTTTTCTTCCCAGGTCCGATACTCGTGCCTGCGCTGTTGACTTGTTTTTCATTCCAGAGATGATTAAAAGCTTCTTAATATATGACAAATATTTCTTTAAAATTCTAAATACAAACCTGTCTATACACTCAGCATTCTTACGATTTGGATGTTTGTCATGCGCATTGTATGAAGATTCAGACCCTATATATATAAACCGCTCTAATGACCCCCAGTCATTTAACTTGTGCGTACTTTCGTCATATATTTTTCTCTGCAATAAATGAAAAAAAAAGAATCATCCATATTGATGTAGAGTCAGTGCGTGACAAAGATATGCTTTTATAAAATATACAGAATAATTGGAGGAAGTACAAAAGTCAACTTGTTATCTGTATGACAGGTCAGATGGACTGATTCATTTCTGTACTTTAAGATTGAATACTCTGAGGACCGAACTGGAGGCGTGAGTAATGATTAAGATACTGCTTGTATTGTCTCATAATAATAGTTTCAATCAAACCGACCTCATGGCTTATATTGTTAATTTGATTTTAACCTCTTTAAACATCTTCAAAAAATTTGAGAAAACTTGTATAACTAGCGTTAAGTATGAAACATGCCATTATGTCGTTCATTTCCTCAGTATCATGATGCGAAAAAAAGGACGGCTTTATGAGAAAATGTATAACAATAAATGGGAAGCCTTTGCGTTCATTGAATGCAACTTTGACTTGTCGAGTTCGTTTAACATATTTTAAAAAAGTTCAATCATTCTAAAAAAAAAAAAAAAAAAACAATCGTCAATTGCCTCTTAGAAATTAGATTACATTGACACGTGATGTAATACGGCTTTGTTTTGAAAAATAATTGCGTAATTGATCAAAATTGGATCACACTCTGAAACATAATGTTTGTATTAAAGAAAATAATTTGAGTTTTTATAATGCAAAATTTGAAGATACAGGTAAGACACTTCCTTTCTGCTTTTATTTGTAATGCAAGTCTTGCGTGTATGCAAATAATACTGTATAATAAATAAATTACAAAATGCATACATGCCGCACTTGAATTAAGTGATGCGTCCTTTTATTTAAAAAAAAATGTTAAAGAAACTTTATAAAATATTCAATAGGAATGGTTAATGCGAATTCATTACATCTATAAGCAATTGTTTGAAAAAAGTATTATAAAATGTTAAATAACAGTAAATAGTTTTTTTTGCTTTTATTTTAATGATACCATATTTAATAAGCAAACCCGTATTTAACCCATACCTTCATAAATAACATATTTCAGTGGATATATTTGTATAAATCTTACCGGGTTTTTTGATGCAGATGGACGCCATTCCGTTTTGGATTCATGATTGCCCATGTTGGAGTACTTCTTTGTTCCAATGTCCAAATAACGTATCTGTTCGAATCATATTCTAAATAAATAATCGCCTAAACATGTTTTGTTTATATAACATAACCGGTATATAATAACTGTTTAATTGCCATTTCCTTTAAATTTTGTTATGTTTGTTTTACGTTACATTTTCATTTTCAATTGTTTTTGTTGCTACTGTATTCTATCATCGAATGCACTTTGTTCTTGTGCTTTTGACTTGTTGTAGCATGTTTGCACAGCCGAAACTTTTATAATTATAACAAAGCATATTTATTCGTTTTTATCATTTTAAAATGTTGTCTCCCTTCTGTTTACTATAAAATACGTAAAAAATTGCAAGCTTTTAACCTTAAGACTTGCAAAATGTGTGCTACTGAGGTTTTATATAGCTCGGATTCATAAATAACACACATTACTTCAGTTCAACTAATAATTACTAAGCAATGATTAAAAAGTGTTATATACTTCTAAACGTCTCATAATATATTGTTCTCGAAATTAAGAATTATATTTTTTTACGTTTTAGAAGACCATTAAGGTTCAGTTCATACAGTATAAATTGGTTTTATCCACAGCATTTAAAATACGCATATTTTAAAAACATCAACACATAATACAGGATTGCGTACATTGAATGACATAAAATTTCATTTGTAATGTTTTTTTTTATGCAAACAATAAATATTTTAGGCATTCTACGTCCTACTTCATTAAAGGCGAGCAAAGCAAGTTTGGATTCAAGGAAAAAACATGTTTAGGAATAAAAGTACATTAAAATACAATTAAATCATCAAAATCAGACATACAATTTTAATGGCCTTTATTCAGCGATGGTATCATTATTACACTTTTCTGTAAATCAAAATATAAGATAAATACTGTAACTACTAATTAATGGTAAATCACTTTGTTAACTGTCAAATTTCATAAAATGTGTATATGATGGATAATCAATGATGAACCGGATATGTTTAAAATTCTAACAAATTTCGTGTTTTCTCTATTAAATCTATATCTGCGAAAATTTTGACGTGTCATTTTTTTCATCCCAAAATATGATCGATTAAATGACACCCAGAACGGTTTATGTAGCCTAAAATAACCATGGCAAGCTCATTGATATTTTTACTACATCAGAATGTCTGATCACAAAAACGAATTTTGACCAACATTTGCCGGATCTTGGTGTAAAATCCGAAAATGTCATGCTAGAATTTTTCGTCATTTGAACAGTGAATTATTGGGAAGTTTTTAGTTGCGACGTTACGGTTGTCATTAAAGCTTTCTGAAAACAGCACTGTCATAAACATTTGTCGGCAGTCTCAATAGTATCTTACAGAAACATTTAATATGACAAAAAAACAACAAACAAACAACAACTCAAGAATCTGGTTTGTCAAACAAAAGATATAACCTTAAAGATATTACAAATCGTTGACGGGATATAAAAGTACACATGACAAAAGCGTTCCCGACGATGTGGCACTTGGAAGAAACAAAAAAAACAAAAACAAATGTACTGTCCTGTACAGCATTGTCGAAATTGTAAAGCGATTTTTTTAAATAAATAATTTTTGATGAATTGCATGTATACAATATTAGTTTTAAGTATTTATCTCATTTATTTCTTGAGGAACTAAGTCAATATATACATTTGCTTTCTACTCTAGGACTTGTTAGTGACGGAAACGAAAACTGAAACATTTTATTTATTTTCTTACATCTTATGTATTTGTGTTGACATCTGATGATACACAGTCCATCAAACTGAATTATAAAAAAACTACATTTTTTATGCCTGCAACGTTCAGATGAATACGATATTTGACAGTTGAAAATATGACTGATTTTCTGAACCTAAACTATTTCTGTTTAATCAAATCTGACAAATACCGATTTCAATTTATCTCAATATGTTGAGACGTGCTTTTCTTGGCTGTAATTATTTTAATTTCAAATGGATGTTTTTGGTCCATTTCTGAAGTAAGAATCTAATGAAATAAGTAAAATTTATCTTTTACTAGTGTAACTGTTGTTGACCTCCATAACTGATGCAACACATCAACTTAATTCATCAATATTGTTCAAACAAGATAGTAAACTTAGACATAGATAATATATATAAATATTCAACTTTTTTGTATTCTTGTATCTGATTGTATTTAAGTTGAGGTATATTTCTGGAGCAGCACATTTTTCAAAAAGAGAAAATTATACTCTTAGAGAAACGTCCAAAACAACAAAATTGTAAATGATCAAGGCTTAATTTAATTAAGCATGTTTATAGATTGCACTGGAACCTAACGTCCATGCCAACTAGCACCGACATAAAGAGCATTTAATACATGCATCTGAAAAATATACTTATCATGTCCTTCAATATTCCCCACTCCAGGTACAGCATAAAATATTCAAAGTGTTTTCTAATGCACTTTCCCAGTAATAAAACAGAAACAGTGAGAAATTTGAAGAACGTAAAAACGTTTTAATCAAATGGCACTGACAACAAATTGAAAAAATAACTTAAAATACAACACAAACAAACAAACAAACAAACTTACCTTGATATCAACCAGACGAGGGTTTCATGTAATGTCAGCAATACCCTGATACCGTGGAGGCTAGCTCTTTTATACCGACAAATAATAATCAGAGCATAACTCAAAAATGTAATGATGTATTTGTCCTATAATGTAATGTTAAACCCTAATTTCGTTTTAAAACTATTTCTTTTTACCAGGAGGAAGTCGATAGGAGACAGGTTTATAATATAGAACTGCATTAGCTAAGACGGGTCAAGTTTCAGCTTGGTTACATTATTTTTAAAATCTATTTTTCTGAAGGATAATATTAGGGTACACAAAGTCAAATAAATAGATTATGAGCATTTGAGGTTTTAGATTTAAAGCCAATTGTTTTTCTCATAGGCTTTTGTACTTTAAGTGTATTATGACCTCGAACTCCATGGATCGAATACGATAGTATGTGCTTACTACACTACAAACTTGAAACAAGATATCAATTAATAACCGACTGAAAGTCATTGAAAATTTATTTTTTCCAGGTCAATATTGTCAATCATTAAAAACGGGCACTTGCTATTGAAGTTTATTATTAATTGAAACGTTACGGTATTATTATGTTTTATAAACCGCAAGTACATATAAATACCTCTTGCAAATATTTCGGATTTGCATGTAAATTTACGTTAATGGGCAATTTTAAATTATTTCCAAATCTTTCAATTATTTTTCTAGTATATTTGTTATGGACTGCATCTTTACTTTTTATGTTTTGTTGGCGTCCGCGCCGAAGCGCGGCGCCCCTTTATGGAATGAAATCAGATTTTGTGAAAGGGCGACAGCAACTTCTCGAGCCTTTTAGTCGGTCATAATAAAAGCCGATGATTCCGATCGGTACTGTATGAAGGTGCTTGATTATTTTCTATTTGAACAAAAAAAAAATATAAAAACACAAGAAAAACAAAACAAAGAAAAAAACGACATGACCAAGAACACTTTTATTTATATATTAACAACTGTTATGGACACTCTCATGTGCTGCACCTAAAATGATATGTCTACATTAACATGCATTTATTTTTTATTTATACATTGACGTACTATTCTTGTACTTTCTTAATGATAAATAAGATCTTACTTCCTTCCCTCCGATTCCCCTTGCCCCAGTTCTCATCAAAATGTTTTGAATTTAATGTGATGTACGGTAATCAACATGATATCAAAGTCATAATGAAATTACAAAATACTTTGATTAAATATTTCAACTAACCGCTTAAAGCATCACGCCTCCAGATTCATGCTAATTTTCATGAAAATTTGAAAATGTATTTAACAGTATAATATTGTGAAGTTACCAAAAGAATGCAAGTTACACATTATCAATGGCACTTACAACCCACGTAAATTACCATTAAGAGGTCAAAATGTGCAAAAATAGCCCTTACTGCGTAAGTAACGCAGTAGAAATATAGATATAAATACTGAAAAATCGGTCATTAATCGCACATAAAATGTAAATCAATACTAGAATTTGGAATCTTTATACTTTTTATAAAATGTTTGTACGATTTTCTCAGGTTTGATTTAATCGAAATATGTTTGCTCATCTGGAGGCGTGCAGCTTAAAAAATATAACTTTTGTCAAAATTTAGAACACCTATTTTATTGTTTCACGGTCTGCAGTACTCTTTAAGATTCGTTATATGATACGGATGTTTATCAACCTTCAACGTGGTGACACAGCATATTTTCGGGAAAACTTTTATTTTAATTACGTTTTTGGCCTATATAATCTAACAACCATGATGTAAACACATTCTATTACTTTATTTTCGTCCATGGGAAATTGAAGAAAAGAACTGCCGTCCATAGATTTATAAGGGGTATGTATAATAGAGTTTGGAAGTGAGAAAACACACCTTTCTTGGGCAGGGTAATTACGAAGTAAGTACCTTTTATAAGTTACAAAGTTGGGCTATCTGGCCGTAATTATGGTTCCAAGTATCAAGAACTATAATATTTAACTACAGTGCCAAAGCGCATATTGCAAAAGAAGTTTTAAAATTCTAGATAAAGGTCAATCGACTTAACAGTTTGTTGTATTCTATATACAGAAATTGGCAAATGTGTTGTGCTTTCCCAAAGTTTATCCACCTGTGCAAACTTTTATCTGTATAGATTCAAGGCGCGCTACCATTCATAATAGAGTTGTAAACCCGTTGTGCTAATTTTCGAAATTTAAAACAAAAACAAAAATTTGTTCTCCTGGGTTTGCTCGGAAAATCCGAAAAAAAATCCCGAGTAGGTCAGTGAGGTGTAAGCCTTTAGCAGAATAGTCACTTAAATAATAGCTCAAATTTTAAAGATCTACATTACATTATTAAAATCGTAAAAGCAGATGCAAAAGACAATCATGTATCCTTTTAAACATTATCTATGAATTCAATGCTGATTAAATCTCGACTAAAACATAAATCCATAATGATTATTTTTTTGGCATGCACAACTTTAAATAAGATGGCTCCTGTATTCAAGATGCATTTTAGTGGTATTTTTGTCAGGCTGTGAAACACATAAGTGGTTCAAAGATTTTTCTGCATTAAAGTATGTGAAATATTGTTTCAATGCGCACTTCAGCCCCTCTCATATTGCATTTCAGTTGTAATTCCATTCCCACCCGTTTGAGTAAGAAAAGTACATGTAGGTAGGTCTATAATGTTTTAATCCAACATATCTTTTTATTAAATGTAACAATTATTATTTTATTTATTTTAACTTACTACTCGTATATGCATTTCAAAGACGTTTTTAATGTAAATGCATTTCAAAGACGTTTAATGATAAGCTTCTGTTCTTACAGTTTTATTCAACATAATATTTACAATGTAAAAACACGATACTTCTCCCATGCTCAATTTATCGAGTTTTTGTTTTACAATAATGTTTTTTGGGTTGCCCTGATTTTGTTCGTAGGTATCAGGAGTGAAAACAATATTTTTGTAGGTCTTACATGAAAATTTCTGCCACAGATATTTTTTTTAATTTGTACCAAATGTGATACTTTTGTAATAATACCCTCAGCTTTCAAATAAGGAAAATTGATTGAATGTTTGATAACATATTATCGGATGTTTACGTACGTATTCATAACACTGTACACAAATTAGATAAATAGACGTATGTAAGTAAAAAATGTCTTTTGCGCATTAACCTATATTTCTAGGTTGTTTCGTGCAATGATATGTAATTTTTTTTTATGAGGAAAATATCACTGGGTTGAAAAGAATTTTGAAAAACATAATCCAAGTATTTATTATAGAGGAAGTGGTGTTCATTTAAAGAAAAAAGTTATTATTTCTAAAAATAAATATGTTTCGCTGAAAACCAAGCATTCTATGAAATTGTAAGACAAAATCATTTCAACATGAACTTAAAGTAATTTTAGAGGAAGGGTCCATTTCCCGGAATAGCGTTAACCATTCTTTCTTTGAAAATATACATTTCACGGAAAACCATGCATTCCTTGAAATCATAAGACAAGGACATTACAACATGACCTATATATTCGGATGAGTGTAAATAATATGAAAATTTAAAACAATGTTAAAAGTAAAAAGAATTTTATCAATCGCTTCATTCTTAAATAATCTTACGGCGAAAGTAATGAATTGTTATTGAAAAAGTATATGATTATAAAGGAGAGAAAACCTTAGTAAAATGCAGTTACAATATCTAAGTGCAAAATAGCAGTTAAGGAAATGGTTTTTAGTTTGTAGTCGTAGCCGTTGGCGTTCGCAAACTTGCGCCTTGATCATAACTTTAAAAGTTCTTGGTGGATTGTCTACATACTTGTCCACAAAAATTATTAGCACAAGACCTGTAAGTAGACTAGACTAACCTTGAATGACCTTGATCCTCAAGGTGAAATGTTTAAATTTTGCTTAGTTCTTTTTGCTATAAGTGGCTGTACATTGTACCTTGTTTTTTTTGGAATGGATTGTCTTCAAACTTACGCATAGTATTCTTAAAGGACAGACCTTGAAGCAGACTAGACATACCTTGACTTTTATTCGTAAATGACATTGACCTTCAATGTAAAATGTCTAAATTTTGCTTTTTTTTCTAGAAGTGGCCATAACTTTATTATTTTTGAATGGCTTGTCTTCAAACTTAAGCATACTAATCTTTTAGGATAGACCTTTTACAAATCATCTAGACGTTCACTCATAATTGACCTTGACCTAAGGGTAAATTATTGATTGTTTTTGTTTGTTGTTGCTGTAACTGGCTATCACTTTGTTATTATTGAATGCATTGACTTTATATTATAACACACCATTGTTTAGGATAAGATCTTAATGTATATCAAACTGAAATTGACCTTCGCTTTCAATGAACTTGATCTTGAATATCAAATTATTATATTTTTTTAGATGTTTGCTATAATCGACTGTATCTTTGAAATTATTAATAAATGGATTATCTCAATACTTTGACAAAACAACATTTTGTACTATACCTTCTTTAAAGTTTAACTGAAATTGACATTGACCATCAGGGTCAAATTCTTTAATTTTGGTTCAATTGTCATAAATTTGTTATTTATGTACGGATATGATTTAAACTTTGACAAAATAATATTTGCTACTGAGCACAAAAATTGGATAAATAAGATGTGATCTTGACCTTTGAACGACATTGACAATTAAGGTGTTATTAATGAAATTTTCTGTTACTGACCCTAACTTTGTTATTTATAAATGAATTAACTTTATACTTAGACACAGCATTTTTAAGTCTGGACCTTCATGGATATTAAACTCACATTGACTTTGATTCATGTATGGCCTTGACAGTGAAGGTAAAAATATTTCAACTTCAGTGATTATTGCGATTATTGGCTGTAACTTTGTGATTAATAATTTTTTTTTTTCACATCGGACAAAACAACATTTTTAATTCTTAAAGTTTGAATTAACATCGATCTTAATCTTTCAATGACCTTGACAAATAAGGTCAAAATATTGAAATTTGATTAGGTTGTCATTATTTTGTTATTTATGTACGAATTTGATTCATATGTGGTCAAAACAACACTTGTGACCAAACACATATGTGCAATAATTAAGATATGACATTGACCATTAAATAACCTTGACCGTCAAATTATTGAATTTTGATAATGTTTTTCTTTACTTTGTTAT